ATAAAAATGGACCAATGACAAATAAACCTCCGAGCCAAACTGAGCCCAGATTTCAGACCAAATCGAGTCCAATTAAATGGGAAAACAGATAAATAATATTTTTTTAATTAAAATCCAACCCAGAAATAGCTAAAACCATACCAAAACAAATGTGTCAAATCAGAGAAGAATTTCCAACAATAATCCATCTCCAAAGAGCTAAAACTGAACCCAACTAATGGGCCAAAAACAGTTAAAAATATTTCCAGCAAAAATCCAACTCCAAAGAGCTAAAATCGAACCCAACAAATAGGTCATAACGGATAAAAATATTTCCCTTGGAGTCTTATATTTCAAAATATTGTATCCAACATATGTTTCAAATAGAAACAAATAACATGAAACATATAAGTATGCATGAATCCCTAAAGTCAACATGTCTTAACATTGAAATGAATTCCAACATTTAATTGAATAAGAATATCAATAATAAAAAGCTTCAACATTTCATTTTTATCATGTATTCCATAGAGTAATAACTAAAGCTTTCCAAAGAAAGAGAAGGCAGCCATATCATGCTCCATTTTTTTTACTGTTTCTAGAAACTATCCATGCTTAGATCTCAAAACATGCCTAAACTTTACTTCCACATGCTTTAGAAGAGAAAATAAACACTTTCAGGTGCAAATCTGAATGATGCAGATTAGAGTGAAGAAGAAAAATACCTCTTAATGCAAACTTAAAACAAAAATTTAGAACAAAATTAAGAAAAATGCTTCCTGTAGAAATTTTTCTCCCAAGACCGTTGAGGAAGCAATGACCCACGAACACCTCAGCACATAAGAACCTAGCCGAGAAGGAAATTCGGCAGAGCCTCTTCTTCTAAAAGCCTCGAACAACAATTAGTGGAAAACACACCTTCCTTTCTCTCAAAAAAAATTTCAACAACCCAAAACAGTACTCTAAGAAGCCTTTTAATAGGCAAAAATGAGAGGGGACAACCACATTTACCACCATTTTTGTGGTTGAATCAAGTGAAGAGGAAAAAATCGCCACAATAAAGAGGTAGACGGTGAAGCCTCGAGAAGGAGAGGGGTCGGCCAACCCGGCCCTTTTAATTGGAGAGCCGAAAGGTCGAGTGGCCACATGAAGAATGAGAAGAGTCGAGAGGGGGAGAATGGCCGCGTAGATGAGCCACGGGATCTAGGACACGAAAGGGAGAGGGCGAGCCGAACACCTGACTGAGCCACAAGGGTCGAATGAAGAGTTTAAGTGTGCGAGAAAAGGGGAAATATGGTTTAGGGTTATAATTAATATTATAATCAGTAATATAAGTATATAAAATATTTAATATTTCTCAAAAATAAAATTTGATTTGTACCTTTTTATTTGTGCATCAAATCATAGCAAAATGAATTTTCTTTTTAGGTAATTCTGACGTCTCAGACTCGTTGGCCCAGTCCATTTTGTCGTCGGAGGTCGCTTTGGCGAACTAATCAATTTGCATGCAATTTGCTCGTGTGCGGAATTATGTCAATATGAGTGTCTTTCTTAGCTAAAATTTATGTCCCGCGTTGGCGCAGTTCATTTTGTCATCGGAGGTCGTCATGAGAAATTCTCATTTTCATCTATCCTTTAAGTTCAACTTTAGTCCGATCTTGTGCAACTTAGTGAATTTTGTGCATTTTGTGTGTGATGATAAAGTCTTGAAGAGATTTTCTTAGTTGAAGAGATTTTTTTAGGGCTTGAAATCCTATTGGGAACTTCTTCTTGAGTCTCCACATGATAGTCCTTAACCACTCGACTATACGACGATGATTTTGAGATAATCAAGGCGGGACATTACAAGAGAAATAGAAAGTGACTGGAATTTCTAAGTAGATGGATTCCAATACTAGTCCTCTAAGATAGTCAATAGGAATCCCTAAAGCTAGATCCTGGGATCCTAAGGAAAAGTGTAATGACCTCAAAATGAGATCAACAGCCTCCGAGGAGAATTCATCAACTAGGTTTACATTAACTTACTATGGAAGATACACAACATAAAATTCTTCAATTGCAACTAAGGTTTAACGCCTTTAAGAGGAGGCTTTTCGATTAGGTTACCCATAGCTACAATAGTGACTTGTGAGATCGAAGGGAGGAAGTTAATTTTTTCTTTTGTGAAGTTTTCAGTGACGAAGAAGCAATACCTTGATTATTTGACATGAAATACAAGAGGAGAAGCCAATATCTTGGAGGAAAGGTGAATTTATTGGATTTTGATGGTCGTATGAATTTGGACGAGTTTATTGGGCGATTATAAGCAGTGGATTGATATTTTCAGTACAATGATATTTCCAATAGAAAAGAGTTAAACTGATTGTCATCAAGTTTAGGAATAATGCTTAATTGTCGGGCGATTCTAAGCAGTGGATTGATATTTTCAGTACAAAGATATTTCCAATAGAAAAGAGTTAAATTGATTGTCATCAAGTTTAGGAATAATGCTTAATTGTGGTGGCAGAATTTGAAGTCTCTTCACTAGCTTGAGGAGAAAAACAAAATCACTATCTGGTCTAAGATGAAAGGGAGATGTTGCGGAAATACCTTCTCTCACATTATCGACAGGATATGTTTATAAAACTCCACCACTTGCACTAGAGAGATTCTTCTGTTTTGGACAATTGAATTTAATCAATTCTTGCTGATATTTGAGTTGGTTGAACCAGAAGAGCACATAGTAGGGAGCTATCTTGGAGAATTGAGATTGTCTATTTGTAATGTGGTGTTGTTGCAACCGTATTATCCTTAATCGATGAATAGGTCCCCACTTTAAAGGTGGAGTTAAAATAAATTTTCCAAGTGATCGTCACACCTTATAAGCAGTGTACAACCCCAAAATTGGGCAACAAGAGTACACACGGTGGAGCATCCAAGCCGACCTTGTTAGAAGAGAAAGCAATGTGAAGAAAAATTGGAGCCCACCAACATACCCAAGTCCGTCATAGCTAGGAAGTTTTTCAAGTGTCATGGTTTAGGGCCTATTGCATCATATTACCCAAATATGAGAATTATATTTTTCACTAAGCAAGGAGCAGTTGAAAAAGTAAACAATGAGATAAGAGATAATGAAGTCGACAAAGAGAAGTATAACCTTGCAACTGACGAGGGAAAAATGCTGATGATTCAAACTAAGCTCATGAGAGAGATTCTATCAGGATTTACATTGGTTATTCTAGAAGGTAGTGGACTAGAGAAGTTAATATTAGGCAAAAGGCAGCCTTGCTGAGAGAGTTACAGGATGCTTTGATATTTTTTGTTAGGGTGGCTACGACTGATCAAGTTTCAGTAGGTCCTAAACTTTGTAGGAGGATTTTCTTTTGCCAAACCCATTCTCCTTTTGGATGCGAACGAGTTTGAGAAGTTGAAAAATCATGTTACACACTTGATGGATAGATGCTTGATTTGTGAGAGTGCAAGCTCAGATGTAGCTCCAACCTTGATTTTGCCAAAGAAGAATCTTTATTTTTTTTATCAGGACGTGCTTTGGAATAATGTATGTGTTTCAGAGTTGCATGAGTTGAACTTAAGCATAGATTTTGCAGTGAGATTATCTTAAACATAGTAAGGCAATGACTTTGTAATGATGGTGATAAGTCGGCTCCAAAAACCTGCAGGTAAAGGAGTCTCATATAGCCAGGAGAATGATGTGGGAGCGTCCTGCTGACATGGGATCATAGATCCTTTATTCGCGATCATAGAGTTTGTGATATCACATAAATAGTTGTTTTCGTGATCGCAGGCGATCTGAAACATACTATTTACATGATAGTAGGCGAGTTACCAAGATTCAATTTTTGCATGGATTTCTTTTTCCTTTGTGCTTTTTATTTTCCTGTTTCCTTATTAAGCTCTTATCTATTAGAAGACTCTATATTTTGCTTTTTATTTTCCTGTTTCCTTATTAAGCTCTTCTCTATTAGAAGACTATATTTCTATATATTTTTTTATTTGGGGACAACTAGCTATTGTTTTTGTGTTTTGGAGAATTTGTTCTCTATTTATGTTTTTTGGAGTGATGCATTATTTCTTTTTGCAAGCTGTGTGTCTGTATCTTGCTCAGGAACAAATGATAGATCCCCCTTGCTGCTTGCAGCACACCATCTCGCCATTTTACCACTGCTTTCAGTTTGGACAGCAGCCGAATTCAGCCAATCTGCAGTCCAATAGCAGATTTTATCTTCTTCAAAACTTGGCCAACTGCCCCTATGTTCCTTCCCGTAACATTCCACAACTATATCTCCACAAGACCCGCTCCCTAAAGACCTTTCTGGAGTCCTAGAACAGTGTTACAATCACAAGCCAGGGGAATATGTGCTACATGGTAAGGAATTATATAACATGAGGGGCATGGACTTATATAATTGTCTAGTTTTCGTAAGCTGCATGGAAAGAGGGGGCGGTGGTTGAACATTTTGGCATTTGCATATGTTTCCTCAGGTTGGGGATACGATAAGATTTAATACACAGAAAGTGTAGACTTGTAGAAAATTGATCAACTCGTGCAAACTAGTAGCTGATTTTTTCTTATACCAAATCAGGCAGAGGTTAATGTATTTCTCTACTTGTTCATTAAACATGGAGGTAGTTATTTTGAGAGGAAAAACTTCATGTATCTAGCTAGAGATAAGGAGGAAGATTTCACATAGAGAACTTGTAGCAATCTATGTACACTGCTTGGTCTAATTTTTTAATAAATAGATCTCAAAGTGAAGATGGACTTATTCTAATTATCTAAAATAAAAATAATATTATCTTTTTTATATTACTTTTAATTTAATGTAGAGATTGAAAAGTAGTTAAAAATTCAGCCAAAAGCGATGAGGGGTTTAAAAAAGGATACCATGTCTGTTTAAGTTCTTTCTAGCATGGTTTGACTATTGTGCTCGGTATGCAAGAAAATTATTTTCATATTGCAATCTGAATCTTTCTTTATGATTTATATTGCACTCTTAATCTTATATTCATTATTAATATAGGTTTTAAATGTGATGAAAAGTTGTGTTAATGGTGCCAGAGGCTCTCACATGCCTGGCCACTTGATCCGGGACATTTTATATTTTGACTCCTCCATTCTTAGTAGCTTATGTCGGCTTTTGTATATATCAGAACAAGCATTGGAGGTCAGTGATCCTTGAAATATCCTTTATCAATTGCTATTATACAGAAACCATGTTCTCATGCATGTTATGATCATAAATCATGTCAAGAAATCAAGTTTAAGCGCTTGGTATGGCTTGAAGGAAGCTGAAGACTTGCAAGAGGTTTCCTGCTCTGTATTGGACATTTTATATTATTTATTGGGTCATTTGTCGAAGGTACTTATTTATTGATTTCTAACTTGTAATACAATATCTTATATATAATCTATCATCATCTCTCTCTCTCTTCTTTTTTCAATATATGATGTTGCTCTCAAGTTTAGTAACCTTCTTGTGAAGGTCTGTTGCATGTTTTGTTCTTGTAAATCCTCTGCTTCTGCAGCTGCATTCCACTTTCCTTGTTTTTGGTATGTTTTTCATCCTTGTATGTTAAGATATGATCAATTGAACTTTTAATTTCTCAATAATTCACCCTTTATGTTATGATATTAGGTACTCCATATCGTAAACCGTGCAAGCAGGTTTAATTAGGCAGATGGTGAGTTAGGCATGATGGCAAAAATTTGCACCCAATTCTTCTAAGAGTAAGGTTTTTGGTTAAATTTTTTAGAAGGTAGATTAAATATCAAGTTGGATACAACCCTAGATATCACACTCACTTTGTGAGGGTAGACTTGGTTTGAGATTTTTCATAGGTCCAAAATTTAATGATTATCTTTCATTCATATCATGAGAGAGATTTTTCTTGACTGTATAGATCTTGTTAGTTTCCCATGCTCATTTTTTCTTGCCAATTATGAGGCTCAACCTTGGTCACCTTTGATCAACAATCCTTGAATTAGAAATGGAAAACACGTGCATGCCAATTTCTTTTTTCTTCTCGTCCATTCTATTTTCTCATGTTATCACCTCACACACAGGTGAGTTTCTCGCGTCTTTCTCCTGTTGAACTTGTGTGTTACATTATGATTTTTTTCGGTAAATTTCAACATTTCAGAAATGTTGATACATTCTGTTTCATTAGATGGATGACGGCTGGGTGATTTTGATGTATATGATTCGTTCCAAACTTTTCTCATGCATTAGTTTATCCATTGTCTGCAAGTTGTCACTGCATTATGTTGGTTTGAACTGTGGATTATGTCCTGAAGCCAACAAAATATTAAAAATTTATGGGTCTGTGTGGTAAGGAATTAGATTTAAGTTGGTGGGATCTAGTGAATCATGGAAGGGCTAAATATCAAAATCTATTTGGCAATGGAGTTAGTAAATCAAGTGAAATCCTGTGAAACTGTTTGGTAACTTATGGGAGGATTTAAAAGTTTGTTATATTTATTATAATAAAAATCATAATTAAAAGTTGATTATTTTATTATTATGATAAATATTAGTTATTTGATTTAATTTAATCTAATTTTTATTTCTGAATATAGTATATAATAATTAAATATTCACTAAACTAATTAATTATTAAAAAAATTATTAAACAAATGACTTATTAAGCAATTATTTAATATTAATCAATTATTAAATTATTAACTATTAATTATATTAATCAACCATGTATTTTATATTGATTAACTATTAAATAATTTAAAATTTGATTTTATTTTTTATTAAATAATTACATATAAATTTATTTGATAATAATTAATTTTATAATGTAATAATTAAAATTTAATTATTAATAAATTAAATTAATAAAATTAACTTAAATGAAAATAAATTAAAACAACAACCCTATCTCCTTTTCTCCTTTGAAGAAGAAATATTACATCTGGACTCCACATGCAGAGCTTCTTGTGGGGTTCAATCTCAAGCTAACACGGGAAGGTTGGGGTTCACCTACATAAAAAATGAAAAAAAGTGAAAATGCTCGACTCGGCCCGACCGATGCATTACTTACCCTTGCCGATGCGTTATAGGAATATTCCATTGCTTTATGTATATTCTTCCGCATTACAAAGCCTTGTTCATGTGTTAGAATAAAATATTTTTAGCATTATTTATATTCATCTGCGTTATTTCTTCTTGTCGCCGTGTTATAGGAATATTCTTTCGCGTTATTCTAAATATTTTTCGCGTTGATCATTTATTATTGGTGTGTTATTGATGTGATTTTGAGATGTTATTATTATTTAAACAACAATACCAACTCAAAATCACCTCCATAAAACATGAATAACACAGTTGCAGATGTTTTCATCTTGTTATTGAATTGTATCACTTCAATAATACATAAATAACACACTAATAACACATTAAAAATAGCGACTGACGTTATTTTGAGATGTTATTGTTCTTTAAACAACAATACCAACTTAAAATCACCTCTATAACGTGCGAATTTCACATTAGTAGAAATTTTTATTTTTTCATTAGATTGTATTACCTCAGCAACATATCAATAGCACACGGAAAACACTACAATATTCATTAAAAACAGTGGCTGAGGCGATTTTGAGATGGTATTATTTTTTAAATAAAAATACCAACTTAAAATCACTTCTATAACACATTAATAGCACATCGGTAGAAATTTTTATCTTGTCATTTAGTTGAATAACCTCAATAACACGCCAATAACACATGAAGAAAGCGGAAATGATTCAGAATAACGCGGGAGAATATTCCTATGCGATGAAATATTCTTATAACGCATCGGTCGGGCCGGGTCACGCGTTTTCATTCTTTTTTTCATTTTTTATGTAGATGGGTCCCGACTTTTGCACGTATCAGCTCGAGATTGTATTCTACAAGTAGCTCTGCTTGCGAAGTCCGGATGTAATATTTTTTCTTACTCGAAACCCTCGACATTTCTTCTGGTTTCGCCCAAAGCCCCTTTCCTGTCCGAAACGCTCACCTAAGTTTCTACCCCTTTTTCAGTTTCGCCGAAAAACATTGCCTTCGTGACCGAACCCTTGCAATGCTGTCTCAGTTGGAGCCAATTGGGAAGGCGAAGGAGGGATCGCGGTTTACAGAGACCCGAAATTGCCACTTTTTTCTCCTTTTGCATTGTTCCTACCCGAAACCATGGAGGCAGATGGAGGAATGTAACCTTATATCTTCCTTTTCGTGCAAATCGCTCAGTATTTAGCAAATTCAGAATCTACGGCTTAAATCAGTAAAATCCGGCTTTATGAAATCTGCAGCTTTATTTTGTCGAATCTAACAATCGGGCAGGATTTCAGTCAAATGCAGGTTAAATCCTTCTCTAAATCCGTTGCCAGACAGTCACCTAGTTAAAATATCTTATTTATCCAAATCTGATGATAGCCATATACTTCCCAGGTTATTTTGACTAGAAGATTAATTTTTATTTCTTTTAAAGATACAGTTGTCTTCATAAGCCAGCTTGTTCACAAATGCATAAAATGGTATTTGACTGATTACTTTCAATGGATGACAAAGGCCCATCTGATTTTTATAGAAGCACTAAACTTTCTAAAATTGGCAATACTCATTAAATCAAGATTGTGTTCTTATATCAGTCTTTGGTGTAGCAATGGCATACTTTTCTCTTCTTTAGGGTGTTACTTTTCTTTTCTCCTGGGATGTAAGATTTGTTGATGAATGTTCTCTTGAAGTGATTTTGTTCTTTTGGCTTGATCGTTTGGCCTTTCTTTTACTGATTAATATTTATAAGTTAATAACTATTTGTGTTTTTGATCAGGGAACATTGTCCGCTTCGCTACCTTTTATTCAAATTCTGCTGCCTTCCTCAAGCAAGCCTGCTTCTGTTTTCAACACCGCATTATCATTGGTGACATTATTTTCAAATGAAGTAAGGCCAAACATATTTTAAGCAATTAACTTGCAGATGTCTGATTTATTTCATCTTTGAGATTTTTGTTCCAATTAGATTATGAAAACACTAAAAATACTTACTATTTTGTTATTTTGCGTAATAATGTATATGATTTAGTATTGCATATTTTCTCTACCTGCGAAGTTTTTCATGATGGTTTAGTAGTCATGCAAGTTGTCTTCCTTGCACCTCTAATCTAACAATGCAAATCTATCAAGTTAGCGAATGCGTTGAGAAAGCTCCATGTAGTGTAGAATGCTAATTTTGTAATGATTTCCAAGAGAAGAATTAGCAGAAAATTATAGGGTACCGATGTGAGAAAGATGAAAGATGGGAGTAGAAGAGAGATGGAAGACAAGTTTCCTGAGAGAGAAGATAAGGCAGGAGATGGATAGGCCTGTATATGGAACTAAAAGTTAATCAATAAATTATGAGATCACCCAGGCGAAGAAGTACCAGGAGAATCATTGATTAATGAGACGCACAGAGAAATGTCTACGGGGAAAACAAAAGAGATAGACCAAGCAATACAAAAGAAAAATTGAAGGAGAAAATGGGAGAGAAGCAGAATGGATTACAATGAGAGCAATAAAAATTGATGCGGCTCATGTTAGCTAAAACAACTTAGCATTCATAAGACAATCATAATGTGCTTAGTCGGGCCATAACAGAGTTTTATATAATGTTCAATTTTGATAATATTTTATTGCAAAATATCCAAAATAATTTGTACCCAAAATCTCTATTTGTTTGAAAGGCATAAAAACTCAATATATTGCATTCTACACTTTGAAATGATCATTTTGATATATAGAAGGATTTGCTAATTCTTAAAGATGAGGAAGTTTCATATTTAGTTTTCATTTTATTTAAGTTTTCCTAAAATTTTTATTTAATCATACTGTTCACCGCATTGTAGCTTTTCCAGCAACCCCACTGTGCACCCCATGCAACATGAGAAGATTAAATGGACGATTGGTATTAAGTGCATTAAAAAATTTCTATTTCTTGCAGCCGACATCTTTTGCCATGCTGCAGCCTTCCTTTGTCTCCTCTTTTTCAGTTTTTATGCCAGAAACATCCTCTCCATACAGGCACGGTCACTAGAATTTTCTTCTGCAGCCTTTCCAGCCTCTGAAATTCTTCTACAGCCTTTACCGCCGCTGACATTCCTTTAAGAAGTCGAATATCCTCCCTACTGGCTGGAAAACTTTCTGCAGGTGCAAATTCTTGCAGGCTTCCTTAGGGGAGACGCATCTACCTACAGTCTTTTGCTGCATCAGGATATCCTTTCTGTCAGCACATAGATTCCTGCATTCCAAGCCTTGGTTTACTTCTCTATCTTCTTCCAATCAAATTAATCTTTTAGGGAGTTAAGAATGGCAACAAAGTTGAGCGTTAGTGATCTGAAGGGCGCAAGTCTAAAGTTGAAAAGAGTGTTCGTTATGGTAGGTCTGAACATTCTTCTTGATGACAACCTCAAGATCACCGAAGATACCGGGATTAGGGCTGCCGTTCCCACAATCAATTACTCTAGAGAGCACGGCTCCAAGGTCATTCTCTGTAGTTTTTTTGAGCTGCCCTGAAGGTGTCATTACGAAATATAGCCTGAAGTCTCTCGTTCCTAGGATATCATAAATTGTTGGAGTTGATGTTGAGATGGCTAGTGATTCCATTGGCGAGGAATTGGAGAAAATCTTCGCTGCATTACCGTATGGCAGTGCCTCCTAGAGAAGGTGAGACTCTATAAGGAAGAAGAGAAGAATGATGCAGAGTTTGCAAAGAAACTTGGTTCTCTTGCCGATCTTTATGTTAATGATGTCCTTGGAATTGCTCACAGAGCTCATGCTTCAACAGAGTGTGTTACGAAGTACTTAAAACTTTTTGTTGCTGGCTTCCTCTTGTAGAAGGAAACTAACAAAAATGTCGGGGCTGCTGTGAATTTGAAGAAGCCTTTTGTTGACATTATTGGTGGTTCAAAGGTTTCGAAAAAGATTGGGGTGATGGAGTTGCTCTTATAGAAATTTGATACCCTTCTTCTTGGAGGAAGAATGATTTTCACATTCTACATGGCACAAGGACATGGTGTTGGTTCAATGATATTGAGGAAGAAAAACTTGGTGTTGCAATAGTTCTTATTGAGAAGCCAGGGTTGAAAGGAGTGAAACTCCTATTAACCTTGGATGCCATTTTGGCATACAAGTTTGCAGCTGATGTCCACAACAAGTTTGTGCCAGCATCAACCATCCCTGATGGCTGTTGGATGGGCCTTGACATTGGACCATACTTTAATGAGACATTCCATGCAACTCTTGACTGCACTAACACCATTATTTGCATTTGGGCACATGGGTGTTTTTGACTTTGAGAAGTTCACTTTTGGAACAGATGTCATTGCCCAGAAATTGGTCGAGCTTAGTGGAAAAGGTGTCGCGACCATCATTGGCGACGTTGAATCGGTCGCTGCTGTGGAGAAAGCCTGACTTGCTGCTAAGGTGAGCCACATCTTAACAGGCGGTGGTGCTAGCTTAGAACCTTTGGAAGGAAAATTACTATCAGGTGTTGATTTGTTTTTGTTACTGTAGGCCCTCCTCTGAAGCCCTTATCTGGAGCTTTTTAATTTAGCTCTGGAATTTTTTTCCTGACTCAACCCTAATCCTGTAGGTTTTTCCTGCAACAGACCCTCTTCCAGAGATTTTTCATGTAGCAAGCCCTCCTCTAGAGCTTTTCTCTGTGACAAACCTTCCTTCAGAGCTTTTTTTATTGCAGCAAGCTCTCCTCTGGAGTTTTTTGCTGCAGTAGGCTCTCTTCCAGAGTTTTTCCCTTGTTAATCATGCCTTGTAGCTTTCTCTATATGTTGTTTACTTTCCTGAAAACATTCCCGCAGCATTACTCTTAGAACCCTTCCACTTACCTACAAACAGTGCAAAAACTACGGTAAAAAACAACCGTAATCAACTAAAAATATCCTTAAATGCTCTTGGGATGAGGACTTCAAGCTCTATATCACAAAAAATCTTTGTTTGATATTTCAAATTTAAGTTGAACATGTTTGTTAACCATATTTCAACTTTAAGGGAAGTGTATGAAATCATATTAGGAAATAATATATTCATGTTAGAACTTATGAGAATTAGATTTGTTTTCTTGGATTATATTTATTTCCTTTCCTATTTTTTTATTTATTTTCTTGAACTGGATATATTTCCTCTCCTATTTTAGACTTTCCTAATTTATGCCATTTCTTTTATCTCCATGTAAATATTATGAATTGATTAATTTGAGATGTAGGTGTTTTATTTTTTCTTTCATGTTATTTTCTTTCTCGTCTTTCCTGTTCTACGATTTATGTATGTGTATTTATGCTTCTTTTCCATATCAATAAAATAATTCTGCTAAATTCTAGTATAAGAAGAATGAGCACAAAATGATACAAGGAAACAACATCATTGAAACAATGTGAAAGATGATGCGATAATGAGACATTTTTTGTATTTAATAGTTTATTAATGTCAATGTATATTTTAAATATTTTCTGCGAGTGACAACATAAAATGAAATATGCAATCATTAATGAAGCTTTGTAACGATGAAATTTGTTTTTGACAATATAAAAATTACATTAAAAATATAAAAAAAATTACAAAACACTTAATGCAAATGTTATCAATAATAAAATAAAGCAAATTATAATAACAGAATCCTCTCTAATAGTGGCACATAATTATGCTGTTTGGATAAAGGGCTCAGTTTGGGGACTTGGGTTTGACAATCAATTGTTGAAAGCAAGCTGGCTGAAGTATTAGAAATAGTGGCAAAATCAAAGTAAACTAAAAAAGAATATCCCTCTTTTCTTTATAACTAAAAATGAGAAATAACTCTATTAGGAAATCTATTAAAATAAGATTTCATAGCATTATCTCAGTTCAAAAGCCTATTTAAAAGCGTTCAAAATTTTTTAAGCATTGAAAATGAAAAATAATTTTGTTGGGACAATTTTAAAATAATACACATTTAATTTATTTTTAAAATAATGTATTAATTGATTTACCTTTTAGTTTGATGAAAGGCTTGATTGAATGCTGGAGAAGCTCCTATGTCGTCTGATCACGTGACTGAATCGGGTTCACGTCTTCTTCAACTTCAACTTTGGGTCGCATCTCTCATCGTATCGATGACAATGCTTTAGATCCTGTTGATGATGTGGATTGTGTTGTTTGTGCTGGTTCACTTGCAACTGAAGGAAAACCACCCCTTCACTTGCTTGGGATTCCAAGAAATGCTCTCCATTGGAACAAGATGCTCGAGAAGGTTGTGGCTTCGGTTTTGAATTGCCCCTTTGACTTCTGCTTTGCGTTAGGCTATGAAGAAAGCGGCACATGCTCCGCTCGATGTCGCATCGAGCGGTTTTGAGCTTTTTCAAACTCAAGATAAGGCTCTAACACGATTCATACCGTGTCAGGCATGTGTTGACATTGGTACGACACTTGTTTTTCATCTCAGTGCTTCCCAAGTTTTAGTTTAGAAGTTCAACTCTCTAAAGAAGAAGTGTATTTTGCATGGGAGTGCTGGGGAACGAATTGCATAGTATTGTGCCTTGTGAAAGGAGATTTTCTTGGATTATTGTAACTATAAATAAAAAGGGACTTTATATGTGTCCACCTCATGCGATGTCTGGGCATACATCGATCTTGTGTTGTTGTGCATGGGTGAAGTTCGCTATTTCTTTTTGTGTAGTGACTTGGGTAATATGGCTGTCCTTCCTTGATATAATTGATGTTTTGGACTGGTTAATGCCATCTGTTTTCTGAAATGGGTCATGGTCGTCTTTTGATTCCAGTCAAAGTTTTCAAACGAATCTCGTGCTATCATAATAAATAAACTTGTGTGATGTTGCCTTCGTTGGCTGTAGTTCTTATTTTTTATGACTGAATTGGTAAAATTTAGTTGCTCCATGAAAAGGAAGCACTACACTTAGGTTTTCTGCAGATTTTACACAATGAACATGAACGTGCATGCATATTTAACGTGTCTATTTTCAAATATTTTTATCATTATCTTCCCGGGATCTTTTTTTGTTGTCACTTAGCCTATTATAGTTGTCCTTGTTATCATAAGTAATTTATTCTTCTGCCAATGCAGGCAGTTCAAGTAGCTGCAACCAAATTTCTTTCTATGCTGTGTGTTATAGCATCACGACTTCAACCATTTTCGCTAGGGAGTATTACTCTTGCCAATGATCTTCAGGTTTGATACATTCACATCTCTATGCTGTGATTTGAAGTTTATTACGTTATTTTGACTTTGTTAAAAAAATTACCAGTTCTCATTACTATTTTTCCTCATCAAATCTTTTCAGATTGGCAATTTAACTGCTGCCATCTGTCGTATTTTAGAAGAGGAACCATGCAAAAGAAAGGATTTTCTTATCTCTGTCCTCGAACTTCTTTATTCCGCTGCTTGTTTTCAGGTTTTTTTTATTCATCTTAACACAGCACTTTGATTGTAAAAGCAGAGAATGAGCTCTTCATGATCTTTTGTTGCCATCAATAAATTTTTTTAATTTAAAAATTTTCTTATCTTCTACTGTGGTTCTTTCGGATTGTTTGATTTGCATACTTTAGCTTTGAAATATTTATTCATCATGATCAGTATCACTTAGAACCTTAGAAGTTTTTATTGTAAGACATGTTTTGGTTTCTCTTTATTAATCTTTCATGACCTGAAGCGAGAGTTCGGAATTACTAAGGCAGGAATTGTCGGTCGAGTGGGATTTCATTTCATAAATGAAATGATTCAAAACTCAAAACTAAGGCAGGAATTGTCGGTCGAGTGGGAAAAAAATTATCTAATAGTTTCATTTCATAAATGAAATGATTCAAAACTCAAAAAAGCCATTTTATTTCATAAATTTTAATTTACAACAATTTGTGCATATGTTAAATTTTTACAATTGATAGGAAATAAGAACTAAAATGTAATATCTATCAGCTTGAGCTCTTCGTCTTTTGTATATATATTCTATAATATCCATCTATCATATAACAAGTTTTCTGTAAAATGTTTGCAACTGAAACGTCTCAGTAGACAAATTTTTTTTTAAATTATAAGAATTCTCATTTTTAAAATATTTTGGTTAAAATGTGGTAAACACTAAAAATTTTAAGCAGTAAAAATAAACAGTAAAGAGAACAATTTTCTGTTTATTTTCATTTATTTTTGTTACACGTTTTGTTATTGAGAGTCATTGTCTAAACATGTACTTTTAAAAAATATACTTTTACTTTTTCAAAACCGACCAAAAAGATAGGCTTTCTTTTCCAATTTTATTTCATTTTCTATTTCTATTTCTATTTTGTGCACGGGTACATCAATTTCTAGCTTGTACCATATGAGGGTGACTTCATATGCATGCATATATCATATTTTATTTATTTATTTATTTAATTTCTAAAAAAACATAAAATTTTACATTTTAATAGAAATATTAGAAATAGTTAAAAACATGTGTAATTGTTTTCATAAATAAACAAAATTGTTGTAAAATAAAAATATTTTTACACATGTACAGTTTTTGGTGAAATTAGTCTTTAGGTGCACCTATAATAATAAATTACACATAATTAACTTTTCCTTTTTTAATCTTTATTTCTTAATTTTTTTTCTATCTTTACTATTGTCATTTTCTATCATTTGTTATTTATCTAGTGAATTAACTAATTTTTGAATTATATATATGAATATGTAAAATAGTTACTTTTTTTTTTTTTTTTGAACTTTTTTTTTTTTAATTTTCTAATTAAATAATTTAATGATATTTCATTAAATTAGTTATCTAATTTCTTTACGCTTAAGTAATATAAAATTTTAACTTAGCTTAATATTAATTGATCTGGACAATTAACATTTAATTATTAAATTAAGTATTCGTATCTGAAATTCTATTTGTTCTTTTTGGATTGAAACATTCTCGCCCTAAACATATTTACAAAAATTAAGTCATTTTCAATGTAATGTTCCTGAAATTTAAATTTAATTGCTTAAAAAAATGTTTACCTTAAGTCTTAAACCCTTTATTGCCTTGCCCAAATTTTTGAAATTGAGTAGATAAGGCTTGATTGAACCTTAGGCTTGCGGGAAGGAATGCCACTTGCTTATGTCCTACGTTGGAGACTTTGGAGGCCTGGATCAAGTCTCTTGAGTACAGACAAATGGTGTGGCAGAGACGGATGCTATCGGATTGTAGAAATTTTGTGAGGGCTCGCACAAATCACTGACCTCCTTCCCTCTCTGTCATTAAGTTTGGGCATGAAAACTCATTTGCTTGGTTGAGTGCCTCATGTACGCATGAAAGAAATTTTTGCAAATGACAACCGATAGAGTCGTTCGATTTCTCCTACTCTTTCTTCTTTTTTCTCCTTTCTTTCTTGTTCTTCTACTTCTTCTTTCTTTCATCTTCTTTGTTTCTCTCTCTCTCTCTCTCCCCCCTCTTTGTCACCCACTCTTGCTTTTTCTCGCTTTCTCTGTCTTGTGCGGTGGATACGATTGATGAGATGAGGAATGATCCTCATATTAGATCTCCCACTAGCGGTAGGAGGCCTCCTTGATCAAAACCCGCTTCATAGGTGTTGTAACAATAAATTTTTTATATTTAAGTTGATTAAAATTTTAACAGTTGTTTAAGGTAAAAGAACATAATTCATACCTCAATTGAAAACATGTGGTTATCTTACTCTTATTATGAATTCCTTCTCAGAAGTAGCATTTTTTTCAGTTTCGTGCTTTCATAATGCCCGAACAAATCAAAGCTCTCTACTTCTGAGCCGCTTTACATCTTAATTTATGATTCTTTCTAGTTCTTCCATGAAGCTCATATCAGATTTAGTATCTATGGGTTCCGTGCTAAGCTTGCTAGCCCAAGTCTATAAGCAACTATCCTAATCTTCTGAGTTGATAAAAGATTTCAACCATAGGAGATTTTTCAAAATTAAGTTTTATAAAATATCTGAATAAAACTCAAATTATATATATATAAACCTGATCTTCTGCAAGCATGATAATGTTGATAGATTTCATGTATAATCATATGTCAATTCAAACTAATCTTTTTTAAGCAAGAAGTAAATTCGGCAGGGTTCAAATTAAGACTCAAATCCCTGATGATTTCTGAGTTGATTAAAAATTTCAACCAGATGGGTTAATTTTTAAATCAAGTTTTTAAAGTAACCAACCAAAACATTGAAGTTAAAGTAAATCACATAAATATTTAAAGCAAACTATATCCACCATGCACAACAGTTTGTCGGGAGTAATAAATTTTTTATTAACTTCAACTTACGAAGTGTGAATGTCACTTCAATTATATCAATATATTCACACTCAAATTAATCTTATGTCATTCAGAAAGTAGTCGAAGTTCTTTGTCTGCGTGTTTGGCAAAAGACTCCACATTGCGGCTACGACAAGTGCTCTTTGACCGAGTAGTTGCTGTCAAATGTCGTCATATATTACACTCACAACTGTAACCCGTATATTTCTTAATAGCTTTCTCCTTTTTAACTTGTGAATTATTAATGCACAATTGATTGACACAAAATCTTATGTCAGCTTAGGTCGACTTAAAATTGTCCTCTTAAACAAACATTCATCCCAAATCTACAAGAGCCCTTTGGATGACTCAACTCATGGTTTTTGACAAAGATTCTTCAGTCAGGTTGGGTCGACCACCTTCGTTGAAAAACGATCGAGGACCAGGACGATTTGAGACGATGTAAACAAGGGATCTCGATTGAGTCCGTCATCCATTCCCCACCTTCTTTAAGCTTAAAGTGATAAATTTTACAACTTAATTTCTAATTTTATTGCCACTATATGTTGATACAGTTAAATGATTAGCCTTAATCGGAAGTTTTCTTTTATTATCAGGAGGAGTAATTAACCACAAGGGCTTGTATCTATGAGAAACTTCGAACCTCAGGTCGAAAAATCATCGCAAAATGAGGGCGGAATATTTGGGTGGTGCGTTTTGTGCAATCCAATCTGCCTTAAATTTGACTCGACTGAGCTATCAACAATGACAAGAGTTCAGGGCATCGAATTTTTAGAGTCCACAATATTTGGCTTGTTTATATTAATTAAAAGGCTAAAGATTCAAATGAGTACTTAATTTTTCATATAAAATTAGACATTTGATTTGCACATAATTTTTGATATAAAATCAGTAAATAAGCTTAAAATTTAAATTATTATTTGTTTTTTATATAAAGTTATTAATAAAAGATCTTATGAATCTAAATAAATAAGTAATTGAATAGATTTAAAACTAGAATTTAACTAGTTATTATCAAGTAAATAAAATGATATATAAGTTATAAGTATTTTAATATGTATATATTGATATTAAGTTATAATATCTTACTTTTAAATATATTATTAATTTAGTTTTAATTAATCAAATTTTATTTAAATAATATATCATATAAATGTAGAACATTTAAAAAGTTACTTCTTGAACACCAAACGAGTCTGTTAATGAACATTAAGAAGAAATTTAGATTATGTTCAAATTTATTCATTTGAGCTCCGAGTTTTTTAAAAAATGTTCAAACTTGCTAATTTGAATAAACATGATCATGTATTAATCGAATTGAGTTCAAGTTGTTCATGACTACATTGGTTCATCTACAAACCTACTTACCCTTGCTTGAAAAAGTTGTATTTCACTTTTTAGCAGTTAAATGCTGGTATTGTTTATGTGATATGAAAGATTTGGGTGGTATAAATATAAAAAAAAATGAAGTTTAGGTTCTAGATATGTGGTTACATAGGAGTTGTGAGGTATGTATGTAAATGCTCTTTTTTTATAAATTAGGTAATGAAATATTTTTGTTTGTTGGTGAAAATGCTACAGAAACTGGCAATCACTAAGATTTATCCCTTGATAATGGAAAGAGTTGGCATACATTGGATTAAGGTAACTTAAAAGTCGAGAGAGTAATGTCTACTCAAAAACAAGGAGTAAACTCATGAGTGTTATTATTTTCAGTTGAAACTTATGCTAAAATAATCACCTTGAGAGACGTTGTAAAATGTTTTCAATTTATTTGCAATTACTTAAAAAAAAAACAATTTTTTGATGTTAAGGAATTTTTATTTCATTTGAATTCTCTTGTACGAAACAATTAATAAGTCATTTTCTTGCTAATATCCATTGGGGTTTTTCTTTTGCATGCTTAATATTTCATGAAATTTGGCATCATAAATTTTTAAGAATTTATTTAAGATGAGTGATCACGTTTTGACAAATAGAAATCGCAGTTTTGGAGATCAACTAGGATAAAATTTTGTGAGCATCTCTCTCTATCACCTTTCTGCTGTGTATTGTCAATCTTGGTCTTTTTTTCATTCTTATATGTATTTACTTTCACCATATTATTATGCTCATGAAGAATCTTAAATTTCAGCCATCTTTCTTTCTGCCCATAATTTCATCACATGTTGAAGAAGAAGGTTCGGACTTTAGGAACAAGTTTGTGCAGGCTCCTCTTGTGAACCAAATAAATTCTCGAAGGAAAAGTGCCATTGATTTAGTCCTTAAATATGTGGATAGATCTGAACTTCTTATTAGTAGGTACTTGAATCTACATACCCTCTTGAAAACAATAGTTTCCGTTTTGTTTTTCTTTCTTTTCTTGAAATTATTGTAATGTATCAGGATAAGATTGCCATTTTTTACTACAGTAAAAGTTCAACTTCTACGTTCATGATATTGCCTTTCTGTTTTTAGGTTCCTCTCTCTGTTATGGCGTGAGATTTTTCTGGCTATAAATTGTTTTGTGTGTTTTTATATTGGCTGAATAGTCGTGAATATATCTGACTTCTTATTATCAGGACCTTCTTCAGACAAGGTTTTCTTTCCTTTGTGTAAATAATTGTATTGTTTGAACAAATAATTGCTATTTTCTTCTTTGGCATGCTGATCAAAGTTCATCTTATGTAGGGACGCACTTGAGCTATTTTAAACCAAAATATTGAATCGAACTGAATTTATTTCATTTATTTTGTTCGATTTATGTAACTATGATTTGATTTTTTATTTCAAATTTAGAGGTTATTTGGATTATAGCTTAAATTGAAAAAACAGAAACGAATAAATCAAATTATATTGCGGTTCGGTTCTGTTCAGTTCTATATAGTATTTGGTTGTTTCAGTTCTGTCTGTTATTTGATTTGATTTAATTCTTTTAGTAAATCTGTCAACCAATCCAACCAAACTGATGGAACCGACTCCCTAATCTTTTGGAAGTTATAAAGATGAGAGATTAATGCTTGACATATTACTGATTTTAGGTTCCCATTTTTGTATCGGTTGTGAAATGAGTATTTTCTTAACTGTTTCTTTTTTTTTTTTTTTTTTTTTTTTTTTTTTTAAAGGTGCTTATACTCTTTTATGTTGGCTGGATAGTCGATTATTTGATCTTGTATTATTTACTCTTTTATGTTGGCTGGATAGTATTTTCTCGGCAGAATTTTTTTTCTTTTATTACTTTTTGGATTATCCCTGAAACACAATAAAACAGCGATTCTTCAACTTTTACAGTGATCCTCGTTTATTGATGAGCACTCTTAATTTCTTGAAATCATTATGGGATGGTGGTGTTCTGTATATGGATACATTAGAGAAGGTTAGAAAGTCTTCCAGTTTCTGGGAGCACTTATCTTCTATACTTGCAAGCGGACTTTCCTTCGATCACTGTTTAAAAGATCTGAGTGATGATGACATACAGCATGACAGATATAGGTAATATTCGAAAGATTGTTGTTCTCTTTTGGGATTAATTTTGTTTTTAAAAATATGTTTGTTTAGTTTTTATTTTTATATATTTTTTAACATGGTTTTAATAATTTAAAATTTTTTTGAACAATCTTAATTTAATCAAATATCCAAAATTTGTTATTTTTTAACATGGTTTTAATAATTTAAAAATTTTTTGAACAATCTTAATTTAATCAAATATCCAAAAACATTTTGTTTCAAATCAAAATAAAATAAGAACAAAAAATAAAAATTATAAAATAAAATGATAATGCTTGGCCCCATAATGTCCATTATTTATTTGTGTAGGTACGGTTGTCAAGGGATCGTCTTGGAAATCATGGCACGGGAACTCCTTTTGCTGGATAAGGAATATCAGAATGAGATTTATGGAACAGAAGCTTCAAGCAATAACTCAACAAAAATTGATAAAAATAGATTGATATTTGAAGCTTCACAATCTTCGGTGAAATTTCTACAAAATGGCGTCTTATCGAACTGGAATGAAGGTTCTGTAATGGATACCCTTGTGAAATCATATTCTTCAGGTGGATATGATACACAAATTGTTTCTCATGCCAAGGTGATTTATCATACACTTTATTTTTCATTATGGAATCTTCGACAAAATTTTTTATCGAATAGACTAAATATGTTGGGCTTATAAGGGGAATACCAAATGAATCAAAATAATGGATAAAACATATTTTCGATTATGATGTTATCGAATACAACCCTTAATGTTATTATTTTCTGTTAATGTCAACACTGCCCTCCACGTTGAAGCATATTTATAATTTTCTCTAGCTTCTTGTATAAATGAAGAATTGGTTGCAGACCTTAGCCTTTGAGAAATGTAATCGCCATTTATGTAGAGATGAAAATATGAGAAGTGATAGTTTTAAAGGAGATCGCAACATTGAGTATTAAATATTAAGCTATCTCAATATATTTTGTTTGCTCATAAAAATAAGATTAATGGTAATGTTAATGCCGTCACATATGTTGTAATTTAAATTCATAATTTAATTGATGAGAAAATTGTCATGAGCTTGCCTAGGTGTTTGAAGGCGAGAACAAACAATCAGTTTGAAATATTTGCTTAACTAACATTTATAACTTCAAATCATAAATGAAGCCAACTAGATCAAAAGTTTTAGTCATAAAATTTTAAAAGATAAGACCATTTTTATTTATATATTACGACAGATAGAAATGTGTGGAGGTGAAGAAGCAGCTACTATATTTTTTATTATTTTTTTTGTTTTTTAAGCATATTATTTTAGCTAGATAATGGCCTGAGTGCAACAAGAGCCTTTGTCAAGAGTTGTCTATGTAGAAAGGAAAAAAACAATAGCACAAATGAAGATATAAAGTATTCATTTAGTTTGTTTAGTTTGAAATCTTGTGAGAAGGTTGGGTGGTGATAGATGTTTTTTTTAATTATTTTCCTTTTGGCATAAAAAGATCGGAGACTCGACACTCTGTATACTCCATATAAAGTTAGTGATTTACAGTGACAAATAATTGTCGTTTTGTTCAAAAATGATATTAGGTTGATGCCTTTCGAAAATCGTGAAGCCTTCTACAGGTGCAGGTGACGTGAATTTCGATAATTGTATGTAGCGATGCGTGAATTATGGTATTCGTGTATCGTGAGTGTGCATGGAGGTCGCAATGAGTTTTCCTATGGTTTCTTATCCTACGGGTATTCGACTCAAGCTTCGTCACGCTGATTTTAATCGACTTAACTAAGCGTTGTGGATTTAGAACCAGCCATATGAGATTGTAATGAGTCAAGAAGTGGCTCGAATTTCTAGTTGGTGTGGGTCCCAGGCTAGTCCTCTAAGAAAATCCAACAAGAAGTCCCAAGTCTAGACCCCAGGCTCTAAGAAGAAGAAGAGACCTCATCAAAAAATGAGGTCAACAACTGCAAAAGTGATTCGAATTCGAGTGTGGCACAGATAAATCAGGCGGCCCACTAGTCTCTAGTGCCTCTCATGATTTGCAGGTTCTCTTGGCTTTACACTCAGCTTGATTTTCTGATCAATTGGAGAGATTGCAGATTTGCACCCCCGCATACATGTTTCTGTAAGGAGATCTAGTACTTGATTTCTCTGGAATAAATCCATCTCCTCAAGCCCACGGACCATTTCAATCCCAAGAAAGTATTTGAATTATCCCAGATCCTTTACCTTGAATTGATTCCCCTTCTTCGTTGGAAATGAGCAACCTCTGTCTCATCATCATCGGTGACACTTATGTCATCTACATATAGAGGAAGTATGGTAGTGTGACCTTCATATTGTCAAAAGAACACCGTGTGGTCAGCATCGATCTGCTGATATCCCATGACAGCCATCGTCATTCTAAATTTGTCAAACCAGGCTCGAGGATACTGCTTCATGCCATACAATGACTTCCTGGTTCTACATACCTTGCCCACTGTCTGGGATGCATTGAATCTTGTCGGTATCTCCATATATACCGCCTCCAGTAACTCTCGTGAAAAGATATTTTTCACATTAAGTTCGTGTAACCTCCATTCACTACCAGAGAAACCAGTGTCCTTGTCATGCTCATCTTTGCTACTGGTGCAAGGGTTTCGTCTTAGTCAATGCCATACATCTGACTGTACCTCTTGCCACTAGTCGAATTTTATACCTCTCCACCTTTCGTTCTAGAGTTTGCTTCACCGTGAAGATCCACTTGCTCCCAATTGTTCTACTTCCGCTGGTAGTGGCACTATCTCTCATATTTAGTTTTTTTCAAGAGCCCCAAGCTCTTCATGCATCGTAATTTTCTAATTGGGATCCTTCTTAGCAATCTGTCAACACTTGGGTATATAGACAGAGTTCAATGATGCAAGGAATGCTACATGCAAATGTGAGATGTTAGAATAAGAAAAAAAAGTTAACAATGTCAAGTTCCCACCCAAAAGGAACCATGAGGATGTTCTGCATTGCTGCGGGAGTTCCTCCTTAATGTTGGGTGGTTAGGACTAAACCGAGGAGGAACAATATCACCTCGGAGTTTTGAATTAAAGGTGGACGGTGTAGGTGTCTTAAGAGTTGTGGAAGACTGGCCAAGGTACTTGTTGACACTGCAGACTCTATTCCCTTAGTTTGCTTCTTTCTCCTCCGTGTATACACCCATAGCTTACCTTCAATACCGAATCCCATCACCTCTGGGTTCAATCTCCTTGATTTTTGTCTCCTCAGTTGATCCATCCCACATCTCATGATGGTATTGCTCCAACTTGCGCCACTCCATCACCACTACTACTCATTCTCTCTTGCCTCATATTTCCAATGTTTGTTGAGTCACCAAAGGGCGAATTCACTTTTAGAGTGTAGTATGATTCAAACTCTCTGAATGATTAATCCAACAGACTTCACCCTTTTGAGTAGCAGAATAACTCACAAATACACATTCCATAGCTATGGGATTCGACTTCCTTACAGATGGTCTGTTGTCTTTCACAAACCATACACATACAAATATCTTTAATCGAAAGATCTCACTATTGTCTTCTTTCAACTTCTAATAAGGAGACTTCCACTCCAATACTTTTAAGGGCATCCCTTTAATCAATTTAGCGACTGTCAATACTGCTTGCCCCCATAAGCATTGTGGGACATTCATTGCCATCATCATACTTCAAGCAACCTCTAGAAGATTTCGTTTCTTCCTCTCTGTTGCTTAATTCTGTGTTGGTGTGTATGAGCATGTAGTTTGGTGTTGTATCCCTTGAGCAGACAGATGGTCCCTAAATGTTTTGTTGACTTATTATGTCCCATTATCAGATCTCATTGTTTTCACAATTGCATCTTATTCGTTCTGAATTGCCTTGTGAAAATCTTTAAAGCAAGCAACCACTTCACTTTTATGTTTCATTAAGTATATTCAGGTAATACGAGAAAAAAAATCAATAAATGTAATAAAATATTGATAACCATTCATAGAACTCATATGACAGTCTCAATACATCAAAATATGATGTATCAAATCAAACACACCAGAGCTCTTATTCCCAGAACTGACATAAGATGAATTTAATCGACCAAGTAACCTAAGATTAGAATGTCCTATACATCTGTGATGTAGCAGCAACACATTCTCGACATTCCTCCTAGATTCTCCTTTTGTAGCACTTTCCATCATAGATGCCAGAGCTGCGTCCATCCCCTCTCAGTCCAAGTATCAGAGACCGCTATGTCACGTTCCAGTCCCAAGCGTCAAACCCATCGATTTCTCTTGGAAGGTCACCTGAGGAATATCAAAAGAAATAATATTTTTAACTAGAGAATAATGATACTAATGGATAAGAGGTTTATTGGAAAAAGAACATCGAAAACATTAGACGAAGTCATATGATTGATACATCTCACTGCACCATTTCCAACTACAGGTTGCGTTGTATTATCAGTATTTCGTATACTCTCTTGTACAATTAATGAGTATATGAAGAGGACTCTCTAGTAATACCTGTCACGTGACGAGAAACATCATAATCTATGATTCATTCTTGTGATTTTGTGGTGAAAATAAAGGCATGAACAAGTGTGCCACTAGTACCTTTGTTGAATCGAGAATAGTTAACAATGTTACCCCTTGTCGATGGATAACATTCTCAGCTCTATCTCGTGCTACTTTCTGCTTCATCTTCAACAACCCCAGACACTCATGATCCTCACTAGTGAAGATCAAACCTGTCTCCCCTCTTGCTCCCCTACAACCAGATTTGCCCGATAGCCCCCTCTTCCATCTTTTCGAGATTACTCAGATGACCAACTTTACCACAATTATAGCACTTGCGAGCCCCCCTGGATAGCTAAAATACATCAGCTCGCAGCAGTCAATGTTGTTTGTGCACCAAAAAGCCACTCGGCTCAAAGTGCAGCTTCATGCGATTTTCTCTTGTATCATCACAACAATGACCTCATCTAGTGTAGAAATAACTACATGGGCTAGGAGAATCAATCTTCTCTTATCAAAGGTCAAATTTAGAAGAGCCATAAATTTTGTAGTCCTCTTAGTTTAGAAGAGCCATAAATTTTGTAGTCCTCTTATGTACAAAGTTCTCTTCCTTCTTGCACATCGGATTGCTATAACTTTACATAGGTGAGAGGTGATCATAATTCTGCAACAACCGCTTCTGTTTTATGGAGTACTGCTTAGTCAATCTATCGCCCTGAACCACTGCTTCTATCTCAAGCTCGATCCGGAACACTCTCATGTGTTTGTCAGCTCCAGCACAGATCTTTTTCAACTGCGCCCAAGTGTTGTTAACCTTTTGAATGCCATCTACTGATGAAGCAATCGAAAGAATCATCGAGTTGAGTAACCAAGTGTAAAGCAAGACGTGTGGTCCTCCGTTCATCCGTTTCAAAATTGTCACTATTTGGCTTTACCCCTGTCAGTATCTTTCTAGTTTCTTCCCTACTAGAGCAGTCTCGATCCAATGCGACTAAGTTAGATACGTGGTCGGTCCATCGAGCTTCAAATTCATAGACGGGAGATCTAGCTTCACCTATGTCGGAGCATGTGCACAGGTATTGACTTTTGTCGAGACGCTAACTC